AAAAAAAAAAAAAAAAAAAAAGAAGGGGTTCCTAGCAGCTGTCCCAGAGCTCTGCCTTCCACCTTCCACTGGATGCTGGTCACGGTGCAGGCTGTCCTTTCTATCTTGATTGACCTGATTACCATTTTCCTAGTCATCAGGAGTAAGTTAGAAAGAATGAGGTATAAAGTAGAAATCCTCCAGAGTCATTGCAGTCTGAGTCTGAGCAAGATTACTTCTCAGTGTGTTATCTGTTACTCTCAGACCCCTTTTCTCCTAATGTATCCAACACAGCTCATTGTTCTGTTTACATTCAGGTCTGCAATCAAATCCCTACGTCCAGGAGGGTTACTTGTGTACTCTACATGCACACTTTCCAAGGCAGAAAATCAAGATGTAATCAATGAAGTTTTAAACTCCTGCAATAACATTGTGCCGATAGACCTTAGGGCAATCGCAAAGAATTGCTCCCAAGACTTCACATTTTCTCCCACTGGCCAAGAATGTGGGCTCTTGGTGATTCCAGATAAGGGCAAAGTCTGGGGCCCAATGTATGTAGCTAAACTGAAAAAATTACACAGCATGGGAAAATGGTGACATGAATTTTGTTAACCATCTTGATATATTACTGTATTTATTCTTTTGAAGTCTCTATTACTGTTTAAATAATTATACAGTCGCTTTCCCTTGATCAGTTTGGAATCCTATTAATTTAATACTTTAGCATCTCAGAAGTTAGGTTTAAAACTTATTTAGGTATATATTTTCCTAGAGATATATCTGTAGCAATGATTTAAGGTGGTACAGATGGTGTTCGTTCTGTTTAATAAATCCACTGTCTCTTGTTATTTTATAGTTAAGTTAATGAGAATACATGTTTTTTTTTTTAAATACAATGTTTAGAACTGCATTCTGTCCAAGATTCTATCCGTGGTGCTTTTGAACCTTTAAAAATGCTCCTTTGCAAGCACTCTTAGTGTTTTCCTCCTTACCAAATGTACAGATTCTTCTTCTTCTTCTTCTTCTTTTCAAGAACTGATTGTTATTCTAAGGCTAACTTCTTAAGCAGCACAGTTTATAGTTGTAGCAGAAGAGGCTTCCTATTTGCAAAGTTGTTTTCTGTTAAGACCTATCTTCTGTTTATTGCAAAAGTCAGTGACTATTGACACCAGGTTTGTTTCCCTAATTTTTTTTTTAAGTTCACAGATACTAATTGAAAGGGTATATTATGTTGAAAGGTTTTTGGAACAGCAGATTCGCATGCACGTATTTGACTTTCGACATTCAGCTTGTAGAATAATGGAGAGTCTATCCAGCAGCTATAAAGCAAGTACTTGAAACAAAACCAGAATGATTAATAACTGCAATAACTGAACTATATTTGGAGAGTTTTGTTACATAATTGCAGTTATAATGAGCACTACAGAATCTGATTATCTTACAGTTGCAATCTGGAGAGGCTCTTATTTCACTGTGTGATAAAATATTATATGAGAGTATGATGTCCCATATTAATGCACAAGAGGGAAATGCCTAATGAGAGTGGATGATACTGTTACCAACACCCAATACCATTTTCTAACTGGCTCTTTTCTGTTTACATATCCTGGGAATATTGTATGTATGTTTTATATATACTTAGGATTTTGGCTTCAGTTTTGGAGTATTTGTTTTCTCAGCTGCTTCTCTTAAGTTCAAACATATTTTTCCAACTAATAAGAAAAATTATGTAGTATACGTCAATGTAAATTTGGAAATTAGCCTTTAAAAAACACCTTTTTGATTATAGGAATAGAAACTTTTGCTGATGCTGAATATACATGTATCATGTTTTCTATTCATTTAAATTAGAACTTATTTGCTAATTAACTATTTTGTGTTTTGCAAGTATATGTAATCAGATTCCGATACCTTAAAAGTCCTAGAAATTTGGAATTCAGCCTTTAAAAACACTTTTTGATTACAGGAATATAAACTTTTGCTGATGTTGAAAGTATTTGTGTTGTTTTATTCTCTTCATTAAAACTAGAGCTTATTTGCTTATTAACTATTTGTGTTTTGCAAGTATGTGTAATCAGATTCAGATAACTGGAAATTCCTAGGAAAAACTTTTTTATATACTTTCATTTTATTAAGAGCTTTTTTGTACATCTAATCAGTGTATTTAAGTAAAGCTATATCTCTTTGTAACCCACTCAGGTATATCAGGTTACATAAGATTAATGACAATGGAAATGGTTTTTGTTTGTTTTAAATTTGTACTTATTTGTTTGTATTTTCTCTTTGCAGTTCTGTCTTCAGATATTTTAAGTTTAAAAGTGTATTTAATCACAAAGAAAAATTTAACTGTACATTTTATTGAATGTTATTATTTTCCCAATATAATGCTACCAAGCTTAATTTAAATATTTAGTCTGATTTGGATCAGACTTTTTCTAATGTATAAAACATTCATAGATATGTATAGATCATGTATGTACATATAATGTATGTTATTTTATTATTAATAATTATAATGAAACAATAAACACTATGAATTAAATAATTTATTAAATTCTTTATATGTTTTTTTGTTGTTCTTTAAACTTCCAATTCTGAGTATTGAAATACTAATTTTGAATGAGAAAACCAAAGCCCAGTGCTGTTTATAATTTCCCAAAGCTACACTGCTAAGAGACAGAGGGAGAAGGGAAGGATGGAAGGCAAAGGAAAGTAAAAAGAATTAAAATTGATATGTATATGTACTAATTCCTTATGATCAGCATGATCATTATGTACTCCAAAGATGCACTACTATTAAAGAAAAAATATTAGAGACAAAATTAAAATTGATTCCAACTGTGTGTTCCAATAATCCCATCACTAGGAGGCTGAGGCAGGAGGCTTGCAAATTCAAGCTGCCCAATGTAGGAAACTTAGTGAAACTATTTCACCAAAGTAAACAATTTCTGAAAAGGGCTGGGGATATAGCTCAGTGGAAACAACCTGTGTTCCACCCTCAGCACTGCTAAAAAGAAAACAATAACATCTACAACAAAAAGCTGGCTCCTTTGCCAGCCCTTCTCCACATACTATTCTGCCAAAGTACAGTTTGAAGAAACTCTCAAGATGATCAACTGATTTTGCTCCTATTCTCCATTGTTCAGCTCTCTTTTTTAATACAATGTCAGGGGCATCAGAGTATTTATTAGTACTTGGGAAAAAAAACCTTTGAAATATTTTAGGGCATGTTCTAAAGAATTATATTCTTGTGATTGTAATATTCTGAAGTTTCCCAAGGAAGTATTTTGTGCCTTCCATTTACTTTTGCAAAGTAAATGAATACTAAACTGAAGACTGGAAATTTGGAGCAACCTTGCAGTGTCAATTGAAAAGCAAGTAGTAATTGATAATATTTTCTGTGGCACTGTGGTATTTCAAAATACCTTTACAAAAATTTTGGTTACTTACCAACACATTAACTTCTCATTGCCCTCAGCACACTGAACAAACACAAGTTTCAGAAATGTACTATGAATAAATGTAATGCATTTAAATCGTTTATACTGAAATTTTTAAGTATCAGATATTATCTGTGGTTTAGAATCATGATGGCCTGTTGTTCTTTGTCCTGCTGCATATATCCGTATATCCTTAAACTTATGGTTATGTATTATTCCCTTAGCATTACTGTAAAAAATTTCCTTTTATAATGTGAGGAGGTATAAAATAACAGCTACCTAAGCACTTGCTACATGAATAAATAATCACAAATGTAATCAATTCTTTTCCAAGTTAGCTTCATTCCTGAGAGAGAAGCATCAGGTAATTTGCATAGACTAATTCAACTCATCTGGAATACAAAGAGAAAATTGAGGCCAGTAGCTACAATTTTATTAGATACCAAGGAGTCCTTTGAAGCAGTTGAATGGGACTACTTGTATTATGGATTAGGTAAATTTGGCTTTGGGGACAAATAGCCTAATTTATTTTCACCCCATTTATATGGTTCAAAATCAGTGGTTTACAATCTTCCTTTCTCTGCCTTATTGCTGCATTGGGGTGGAAGGAAGGATGAAGCCCATTATTGATTTTACTTGTCAGGCTGACATTGGAGCTATAATATTACCCAGATCTCATGGGCATCTGAGGAACATGCAGAGGAAGGTCCACAAATTAACTAATGTATGCCAGTAATCTACTACTTGTGCTAAAAGATCTAAGAGCATCTGTCCTGAAAACATTAAAAGTAATGTCAGACTTGGAATAGCTTCAGGCTAGAAAGTCAGTGGAGAGGATCAGAAACATTATCTTGGCAGAATAGTTTCTATTAATATTATTGTGTGACATTTAAAGTATAAACAATTGACTCAGTTTTCATTAGGGAATAATTAAGTAATACAGTAAACAAACCATTTAAAAATTGACCTGTAATCCAGCGCTACATTTTTATTTTTTAATAGGTTTCACCAAATCTCGAAGGATAAAGCTTGGTAGAACATATACCTCTTTAAAATGTACTTTTCTAAATCAAACATTAATTCCATACCTCTAACTTTTTACAAATGAAGAAAGTAATTTCCTTAGTCATGTGAGTCCACAGCCATTCTAAAACCCTGTGAAAGCATATGCTACCTTAAGAAAAGAACTGTTTGCCTCATCAGGAGTTATTTAATAGTATACGTCATGAATTAAATTTGCTATGGTTTGTTAAAAGGAATTTCCCACTACATATTGCTATGGAAAAGCCTATTAAATATACTATCTGGCAGAATCAACAGAAACTAAAAATGTACAGTTTGTTGAGAAACAAAAACCAGGACTTTAGGATCCAGGTTTGTCCTAATTTTTAAAACAAGTGGGAATGAAATTGCATATAATAACGAGCAAACATGCAGAGATTAGCAATGGCAAGAAGAAAAAAAGAACAGAGCTTTTATTAGTTTATTAATATTAAGTTATGGAGTAAAAGATTCCTTACTTATTTGTCCAAAGATGGTATTACTGACTTTTCCAAAATGGTATACTTTTCCTTGCTCTGGTATTACAATAATCATTGGGGGAGTTGTACAGGAATGAGCAGACTTGAGGATTTTAACTGAATGAAGAGTTGGTGTTGGTAGAGAAGGCTTATTGCTGGTTCATAGATCATAGCAGCCAGCTCTCAAGAAAAGGGAAGTGGGGGATAAGGGTGAATATGACAGCCAGCTCTGCTGCCACTGGAAATTGTCCAGAGTGGTATCTTCAGTCATGAGTAGGTGGCATATCTGGCTGTACCACACTTCATGTGATGTGTAGTCCTTAAATAGATCATTCTTTATTGCAAGTCCTAGATTATAACAAATGTCCAATAAATACAATAGACAGACACCAATTAACTATATTCTTCAACAAAAGATTGCTTTATTAACCCAGTGTGGTAACATGTAGCTTAGGCACAAGCATGAGAATCACTTGAGCCCAGAAGTTGGAGGCCAGACTGGGCAACATAGCGAAACCCTGTCTCAGAGAGAAAAAGGATTATTGTCATATATCACAACAAATATGTTATGTCATCCGTATGAAGCTGCAGTTTTGCCCACAGATAAGTTGTTTTGACCTACCTGATTAACCTAATTATATATAGTTAACAGGTTTCTTTTCCATTCCATGGCATTTGAGTTGGCCGATGAAGAGAAAAGGTTATTATTAAAATATAAGTTCAAGTGAGATCCAGGACATCACTCTGGGGCAGGGCTTATGTTGCATCAGTCAAATATGTTTTGGGAG